AATCTTTGGGGTGGGTTACTGACATCAAAGCAGAGTAAAATATCCATCTAAAGTCTTTGTCCAAAAGGCCATCGTATTTGATTAGATGCTCCGTTTATGTCAAACAGTATTTACTCTGAACGACATTAAAAGCTATATATATATATATATATATGAAATTCCATCATTTCACATAAAAAAACCTTTGAAGAACTGCAACACTTGTGAGTTAGCACAAAACAGAGAGTTTTAGAGAGGACTGATATGAGATGTTTACAAAGTTGCCGAATATGAGAAATCACACTGATTCGTAATTTGCAAAGTCGTAACAGGCCGGATGATGATGACGCTGCTGCTGCTGCTGCTGCTGCTGCTGCTGATGATGATGATGATGAAATGGGCTCTTTGATTTTCTGTAACATTAAACAACCTTCTGTTATTTCGTTATTTGATTTGTTAATGTTTTGCCGAAAAACTACGCTAATTTTCGACGGAGACATTTCTAACTCTGTCTTCAAAATTAAAATAAATAATAAAGGAAAGACGCATAGAATGCCTAGTAACAATTGGGAGATTTACCAAAAAAGATGCTCTTCACGACGTAGCAGAACAGATGAGTGATTAACAATTGTAGCCGCTTCGTCTATTAACAGGAACCCTTATAAGCCCAAAGCACAATCCCATTTTAAACAGGTGAGAGAAAACAAGAAGATTCAGTTAAATCTCCGGAGCAACTAAGAACAAGGCTTTCACCTCTGTAAGGAGAGTTAATCACTGGTAACTTTTATTTTCCAGATTTTCTACACTTTCGATTTTAACATTACTTGCAGCAGTTTTTACTGTTTCTCTAAGATCATTTTTGCTTGAATATTATTTTCCATTCTCATATTAAATCTGCTTGAGTGATGAGCCAAAGTTTTATATTGGATTAATATCTAGAGAGGTTGGAAACCATTCATTAATTTGATATCTTTTTGTCTTTGGCAAGCTGAGCAACAGTCATCAATGCAGAAGTTTTTCACTAAACCGGATCATTTTATCCACATTAAAGACATCTTTATTGATATTAAAGATACTCTTATTCACATTAAAGATACCTTTATTCATATTAAAGATACCTTTATTCATATTAAAGATACCTTTATTCAAATTAAAGATACTATTATCTACATTAAATATAACATTATTCAATTTAAAGATACATTTATTCAAATTAAAGATATTTTTATTGACATTAAATATACTATTATCCACATTAAAGATACCTTTATTGAAATTAAATATAGATTTATTCAAATTAAAGATACTTTTATTCACATTAAAGATACCTTTATTCATATTAAAGATACCTTTATTCAAATTAAAGATTCCTTTATTCAAAAAGATCATCAAAATCAATATATATATATATATATATATATATATATATATATATATATACACCACAGAACAAACGTTTATCATAAAATTCAAGTTTGAAATACTTTTTATACACCAGAGTTACGCTAAAAACATAACATTAAAATGGTCTTTTTTATTTTTAATGAATTTATTTATTATTTTCCGAATATTACCGTATTTATATAAATGGCTGGCCGTATTTGATTTGCATTCGCTTTTTTTTTATTTGCTCAAACATTGATGTTAATAGCAACTGGCCAACATTGAGATGTCCTACTAAAGAAAAATTGTGGCTCCGACAGAAATCGAAGTTTTATTTTCTTATCCATTAGGGAAAGCGATTCCATAGCCGAAACGTGCATTTACCAATGCGGCTACCGCTGTCGCGTTGACAGAGTTAGGTTGGAATAAATTATTTAAGGAATGCAGAATATTTTTCGTTGTGAGTTCCATGAATATCTGCGAACTACAGTTTCGTACCAGAAACATTAAAAAAAAAAAACAGTAATTTTGGTAAGAACATTTTTAATTCGATATATTACAGTAATTTTTGGATTGTAATAAATATTGTCAGACAAAAACTCCCTCCAAAAATTACTTTTGTTTACGTTTATACGTTCGTCAGTTTCACAAGGAGCTCCACTATTCTGGCCTCATGCCAGTCTAATCTAATTTGGGTTCATGCTATACTGATCGAAATTTACAAAAAAAAAAAAAAAATCCCACTGAGTGCCACATTATAGTGTCCTTGTACCAAGCTTAGTTTAGTAAATATTCGTTTGTTATTCTTTTCTCGTTCATTGTTTTTCATCAATCTTGTTTCGTTCCTTTCGTTTTATTTTTCTCGTCTTCGTGGTTTGACTCATTCATTCTTTCTTATTTAATTTTTTCTCCTCACCCCGTCGTCATTTTTCCTTCCCACTATCTTATTTCTTTTCACTCTCTCTCTCTCTTAAAGTTATCTTCCGCGTTTTTTCCACTCCTGCTGTTACGTCTATCAGCTTGCCTTCGAGCTAAATTCCATAATTTTCGTTTTCTCATATTCATCTTCAATCATTTTCCTGTACCCACAAAAGATTTCCCTAATATGACCCTTCAACCATTTAACTCCTCCCCATAGACTACGACAATCAGCCTACTGCCACGATGGAAAGCTCTGTTATATATATATATATATATATATATATATATATATATATATATATATATATATATATGGAGCTGCATCTTCAGCCTCAAGAAATGCTGATGGATGTTACCCTGAAGAAAGGATATTTGATTTGCCTTGCGCCGTGGAGGCGGAGAGACCCTGAAGAACACAATTCTACTCGTTACCCAAACCTCTTCTCAGTGTTTAACACAACACCTTCTGCGCATTGCTAGTCACGCCCAATCCACCCAACATCTACAGTTGAATTATTAGAGCGAGCGGATTGCAATGGTTACAGGAATTAATCTTCTGCCGAATGATTAATAAATCCACTCTTCTGCTAAAAAACAATTTCTTACAGCACGTTATAACTTTTCGTGTCGCTAAACTCAGCCAATAATTTTTGTCTCTGATTTTTAACAGCGTCTTTGGATATTATTTAAAGCAAAGAGAACAAATTAAAAATAGGGTTAGAAGCAGAAGGGTCAGGCCAATATTTCGTTCACCTTTAATTATAAAATGTACAAAAGTAGTCAGCATTTTCCTAGGTGTACCCTAAGAATAAAAATTATACCCCGTAGTAAAATTTAACCAACCGAATTTCTTGAATATGTCCACAACACGATAGCTTTTAGTTTCATTTTGAAGAGATTATGACTGACTCGTTATGGTGAAATAATGGATAGCTGCTTGGATTGAGGAATCGGAGAGCCGAGTTCGAATTCCAGTCGAATACCCTTGGGAAAGGTACGAATCCTCTTTTTCTCCCCACTCCCCGCTAGCTATAGGTAAATAGCAGGACAAACCGGATTCTGTAGCATTGGATGGCAACTGGTCTACCGCAGAAAGAAATGGCAACCTACTGCGGGGAAAAATCTGCCCCGTCAGTCAGCTTTCGAAAGATACATGATCGCCTAAGCGTGTATCGTGCATGGCATATAACTGACTGAGTTAATATACTAGAGCGCGTGGTTATCGATTTGGGATTTCAGACAAGAGATTTTATTAGACAATTATTTTTTTCTACATTTAACGTGTAAAAGTACGTGCGATATCCTTCCAACATCAGCCACCACCAGCGGAGGTAACACAGTTTCGGTGGCTAAGGCGGCACTTCGACACCTGGCGCCACCAGAAGCTTTGGCCACCGGACAGGGTATTGGTTTTTGTAGACGTCTTAGTCTGTTACGATTTTTTTCAGTTGTAAGTCAGATTTTTAACGTTGTGTTAAAAGCGTTTGCTTTTGATCGTTAACCAATACACAACGCGCTCGCAGCGACCATTATCAATGGCATAGCATGGAAGGTATACGGGTGTGTCGTCGGAAGTAGCATTGTGGTGCAAGTAAGGTTTTAATTAACTTTCTTTATTTTGGATCTTGACCTGATCCAACTCGATGACTGTTGAGCTGTGGTCTGGAGACGATATGGTAATCGTAATGATAGTATAATTCGTTTTCCTACAAAGAATTACGACTTTTGATTGAAATTTATAAAATCTTTCTCTTGAAACCTTTTTTTTCGGGAAAACAGGTTTCTCAAGAAATGGATGGTTTCCTTACTAACCTTTTATTTTAAGTAGTGTGGAATGCCATTATTTTTTTCTTCTAATTATATGTGCTATCCATTTTTGGTGTTGTCGCTGTTGGTAGTCCTTAACTGATATGGTTTCTTTTATTTGGCACAATTTTTTGTTTGCGAATCTGTAGTGCCAGTCAACAGTGTTTAAAGAAAGATGATCTTTACCAAGATCCTCAGACTTTACTCACTCAAAACTTTTTGCTATCATTGATCTTAGGAAGCGGTTGTATACAGCTGAGAGTTTAGATATTTTTGAACGGGTTTGGCTCCATGCATGACTTCCATATGAAAGTATCGATCTGACGAGGCGATTTAAGAACATGTCTCGATTTCTTAGATTGATGTTTTGGTTCTGTAGTAATTTGTGGTATTGAGGGAAACTACCGTAGACTATTTTATGCTCAATTTCCTTTTCTCCTGTACTTAATTTGTTATAATTGATTTATACGCTGAACTATCTGAAGTGCTTCGTATTTATGTTTGATGAATGCGGTCAATTCTTCCACTTCGTGCAAAAATGTTTTGGTAAAATAAAGTTTCATTCCTTTGTGGTGCTTCCAAAAATATAACTCTAATTTACGCTCAAATACCCTTGGGAATGGTATGAAACCATCTCCTCTGCCCCAGCTATGAGTTAAATAATAGAACTTCTATCTGGAACAATCATTATACTCTGCCTTCTTAAATTCTATTCTTTTATTGCCCGCTCTCCTTAATAGTGTTTTTTTTTTTATCTGATATTCCCTCACACTCAGTACACTCTTGCGTCTTAGTGACTTTATTATCTTGCTTGGGGTGAAATGATTAAACAAAACCCTATGTGGGTTATCTAAAGCTGAAACGTTTTTTGCATTGCCCCACATCACTATGTGTGCAAGTTAGGTTGGTTGATTTCACATATCAACCCTTCTTATGTTATTTAATGTCGAAGTTTGTATGGAGCACCCAGTGAGGATGGGACTCACTACTCAGTAGCAGTGGTCAAACAGACAAGCCCAGTTAACTATTGATCCACTCTGATGTGCCACCAACAAAACAGGGCTTCCTCACAAAATTTGGGGTCAATTTGAGAACGTTTCAGCTCTCTCCCCGTAATATCTTTAAAATAATTAAAAAAAAAAAGAAGATTATATAAAGTTACACTATTTTCTTTTTATAAACAACTTGGGTTTTTTCCTGTTTAATTTTTTTTCTCAAGAATTAATTTCCAACTGACAAAAATCATTGATTAAATTTTTATGATTGGCTTTAAGAAATACAAAAAGAAACAAAATATATTTCCGTATATTATATTTTGTCATGTCAACGTATACTCGTTGTCACTTTCATAATGCTCGTTGTAGTAGAGACTTTGTAATCGCAGTTACCACTATAGAACGCCGTTGAACAATACTGGTGTCAGACGCCTTCGAATATCACTCGCACTAACATTTCTTGCACAATAATTCTCGCTCGAATAGTAATCTGTATAGTGATCAGTATAGAGAAATAGTGTAGTGAATAGAGTATAGTAATAGAGTATATAATAGGAATAGAGATCCGAATAGTAATAGAGGATAGAATAGGAATAGCGATCAATTGAACGTCACGCTACTTTCCAATTTATGCGTTTCCTCTATGGTCACGTGGTCTACTTAATTCAATAATGGAATCACCTGTGTTTGCACACTGGCGCTCTATGTTCAAACTCAAGTGTCAGCAGCGACACTTTATTCCTATATTGCACTATATATAGTCGAGAATAGTGGGAGATTTTATGCTCAGATTTTTTACACAGAAAATAGGCGGTAATTTTTTTTTTTTTTGAAGAGGTTAAAAACATGCATTTTCTGTAAACGGTTGCACTATACACAGGTTGTCCTGGGTATGACGATAAACTACACCCGGCAACAAGGCCTCTGATCGGAAGATTTTGAGGAGCGTACAACCACAACTGCTCTTATTCCCAGGTTCACTCTGACCCCAGCTGGTAGCACCTGTTAGAGTCCCACCTATGGGCAAATAGTGAACCTCAAACAAAAATCAATAGTACATTTTAAGAGCAAAATGGCCTACAGTACATTTTTATAGTAAAATGATCAACGATACATTTTATAGCAAAATTAACATTTTTATAAAAAAAATGACCAGCAAGATAATTTTATAGCAAAATATCAATCAATGCAAGTTTAAAAATGTAAAATACTTTTTCATAGTAAAATTACTAGCAATGCATTTTCATAAAAATTTACTATAAATAATTTTTTTAAAATTAGCAACAATAAGTTTTCATAAAAAATTTTACTACAAAAAAATACCAACATTACATTTTATGTTCTACAAACTATATATCTAAAAAAACATACATGTACATTGAAAGTAAAAAAAAAAAAACATGTAGAAAATATCTATAGTTGAAAGCATCAAATTACGTACAAATCATTTAGATTTCGGTATTAAATAACCCATAGAGGTGTTGATATGCCGCTAAACAAAATCAATCCAGTAACCATTATACACAGGTAATTATTTTTGTAGATGTGTTAAAATTAATACGAAGAAATTCAGGGATCGGACAATATATCAAATTGATTTAGACACTAGTATATACGGTTACTAAACTAGCAGAATTGGGAGATTCCATGAATACAGTATCAAATGAACAATTTCGTAACTCTTTTTGTAAAATTTTACGTTTTTCATATCGTTTTTTTTTTTTTAATGATTTGCTTAAGCTAAACTGACGTCACTGGTGGAGTTTCAAATTTAGTCAAATTAGAGTTGCTTATGAATGAGATGTTTATAGCGATTTACTAAGCGAAGATTAAATGTGGCTCAAGGACGGAAGTATGAAGCACCCAGTTAGGATCGAAATCACTACTCAGTTATAATTGATCACGAGAGACAAACTTGAAACCCCCAACGAGATTCTTACAAAAAATTGTTTAATCATGGAAAATTTAACATGAAAATAAAGATTTTATTAAAGTTATTAAACCTTAAATATATGTTGGTTATGTAGGGAATATATTAATTTTAGCTGATAACAAAAAGGAAATTGAAAATCAGAAAACTACATTACAACAAAATTCCGTCTTAAATTTTACTTATGCACTCAGTGAAAAAAAATAAACTCCCTTTTTTAGATGTTCTCGTTGATTTTTGTAATTATACTTTTAAAACTTGTTTAAAAAAAACAACTCGTAAAGACTCTTAATTTCTCTAGTGAATCCCCAATAAAAAAATGTAAATGAATTTATTGCAAAATGTTTGAACAAAGTAACTATAAACAAAATAAAAATTCAGTAATAACTACAAATATTAAATTTAATTTATGACCCCACCCTCATACGTTTTGGGAATATTTTAGGTTAATATGCAATGATATTACGATGTGATGCTGAAAATTTC